GGTGTCCCGTCTTCTACTGGTCTTCCTCCTCCCTTCCTGTGTCCACCGCCTGACCAGTCGCAGCCGCCGTTACAGCCAGCCTTCCCACTGCCTGTTCCCTCTCCTCACACTGAGCAGTCCGGAGGTCTTACAGAGCGTCGTGAGCCTGCGTCTCGTCCTGTCTCCCCTGTTCGCACTGCTCGTTGCGCTCCTCGTTTGCGTCCTCCTCCTGTCCCAGGCATGCACACTATGGCACTCCGTCCTTCCTCTGTTCCACTGCGTGTTCCTCTGCCTGATCCTCCTGAGTCCTCTCTTCCTGAGATCCCTGACCCTGAGTTTGCCCGAGCGCGTGGTGCCAGTCCCACTGTCGCTCGTCTCCTTGCCACTGCTGTCACTGACCCGTCCTTTGAGTCTGCTGCTGCTTCTGCTCTCGTTGCTGAGCTGCTTGACTTTGCTGCTGCCTGCCGTCTCGACTACGCCTCTGCTCTAGTTGCTGAGTCTGTGCCTTCCAGTCCTCCGTCCGTCGGGGGTGAGTGTGCTCTTGGCACGGACGTCCTTGAGGACAGGCAGGAGGACTTTGAGTGTCTTGCAGCTGCTGTACCTCGTTTCGCTTCCTTGTTGCTTGCCCCTGAGGGAGACCCGGATGCTCCAGACATCCCGACCCCGCGCTCCTACGCAGAGGCGATTACGGGTCCTTACTCCTCTCAGTGGCAGGCAGCTATGGATGCCGAGACGGCATCCTGGAAGTCCACAGGCACCTACGTCGATGAGGTTCCCCCACCTAGGGCGAACATAGTCGATGGCATGTGGATTTTCAGGGTGAAGCGGCCGCCGGGTTCTCCGCCTACCTTCAAGGCGCGTTACGTTGCTCGAGGCTTCAGCCAGCGACAGGGAGTTGACTACTTCCAGACCTTCTCCCCCACCCCGAAGATGACTACTCTTCGGGTGTTGCTGCACGTCGCTGCTCAGCGTGACTACGAGTTGCACTCCTTGGACTTCAGTACAGCCTTCCTGCAGGGCAGCCTGCACGAGGAGATCTGGCTGCGCCGCCAACCTGGTTTCACTGGGACGTTTCCTGAAGGTACTCAGTGGAGCCTCCGCCGGCCATTCTACGGTCTCCGCCAGGCGCCTCGCGAGTGGCACGACACACTGAGGACTACACTTGCGGTTCTTGGGTTTGTTCCTTCTACAGCAGACCCGTCGCTGTTTCTACGCACCGACACCTCGCTGCCGCCGTTCTACGTCCTAGTGTACGTCGACGACCTTGTCTTTGCCACTGCTGACACTGAGGCACTGACCCTTGTGAAGTCCGAGCTGCAGAAGAGACACACCTGCACTGACCTGGGTGAACTGCGCAGCTATCTTGGCCTGCAGATCACCCGGGACAGAGCACGGCGCACCATCACACTGACTCAGTCACACATGGTGCACCAGGTCCTTCAGCGCTTCGGCTTCCAGTACTCCTCGCCACATCTCACTCCTCTGTCTACCAGCCACTCACTCTCAGCTCCACCTTCGGACGAGTCCGTAGAGCCGAGTGGTCCGTACCCAGAGCTTGTGGGTTGCCTCATGTACCTGATGACGTGCACTCGACCCGACCTCGTGTACCCTCTCAGCCTCCTGGCTCGTTACGTGGCTCCAGGCAGGCACCTAAAGGTGCACTGGGATGCTGCGAAGAGGGTACTGCATTACTTGTGCAGTACGTCAGGCATGGGGCTCGTGCTTGGAGGACGGGATCCAGTTGTCCTCACCGGTCACGCAGACGCCTCTTGGGTTGACGACTCAGCTACGCAGCGGTCATCACAGGGTTACACCTTCAGCCTCGGTTCCGGCTCTGTTTCTTGGCGGTCTACCCGTTCGTCTTCGGTTCTCAGCTCCAATTGTGAGGCTGAGATCTACGCCGGGGCCATGGCTGCTCAGGAGCTACGCTGGCTCACCTACCTGCTGACCGACTTGGGAGAGCAGCCTCGTTCGCCACCAGTTCTGTACGTAGACAACAAGGCCATGATTGCCTTGTGGCAGGAGCACAGACTGGAGCACAGAACGAAGCACATCGCTCTGCGATACTTCCTTGCTCGTGAGTTGCAGCAGCGTGGCCAGCTTCGTCTTGCGTACGTGGCCACTCGGGCCAACACTGCTGATGTCTTCACCAAGGCACTTCTGCCTGGTGATCATCAGCGCTGTGTTAGGCCTTGTGCCTACTTTGCCTCACTTGCTTACTGCCTGACTCTGCTTGTACTGTGATCTATATATATACCTGCATGCTTGCACTTGCTAGGGTATGATCACTGTATTGTTTGTTCTCTTTATATAACTCTGCATGTGAACTGGCCTTGTGGCCCTTTGCTTGTGCTCGGACTGTGTGGTGACTTTGTGATCCACCCTGAGCTTGCTTTGCTTTGCTTCTTCTCTTGACTAGTCTTGTGCCCATTGCTTGCTCTTGCTATCCCCCACTTCGCCTATGGGGGTGTGTCCAACATATGTGTTTATATATCTCTAGGCTGTAGTGGGTTTAGCCTTAGGGGGTACATAATTTCTCTCGACATTCTACTTGTACCCCCCCCCTTTCACCTAATGCATCATTCTTGTCACTTATTCTCACACTTCACTACCTCGTCAGTACCCCGACGATCGGATTAACCAACCACAAGACCGGAACTACGACACCTAAGTTAATCGGCTACGTCGACGCCGATGACGCTGGAGATTCTGACAACAGGCGATCTCGTACTGGCTACATCTACCGACTCGAACCTATCGGCCCTATCTCATGGCAGTCGAACAAGCAAGAGCTAATCGCTCTCTCCTCAGCCGAAGCAGAATATATCGCACTCTTCTCAGCCACCAAGGAAGGGCTATATCTTCGCGAATTACTGGAGGAATCAAAATTGGCTCAGTTACCCAGATTCTCCCTCTTCTGCGACAACCAATCGGCCATTCGCACAGTGAACAAAGATGGGTTCGCGAATCGAACGAAGCACATCGCCCTCCGGTACTTCTTCGTAAAAGACGGAATCGAGAAGTGAAGACTCGAGCTATCCTACTGTCCCACATCCGAGATGGCAGCCGATTTCTTGACCAAGAAACTCGGAAAACAGAAGTTAGAGTACTGCATGCTGGTGACTGGACAAGGACACGTCATCAGCGGCGACACTCCAGAAGCGAAGGGGAGTGTTGGAATTGGAAACAAGTAATTTAACGCTTCTGAAGTAATCGAAGTATCGACACGAAACGGAGCGGACTACAGCGAAACAACACGCGAGTCAACAACCGTAACAGCTGGAGATTACGTGAAGGTTAAAGGTTGCTGACCTTTGACTCGACGAAAAATATAGTACGACAGCAAGGACACATAACTGACTCGATACTGAGCAGTTACCCGAGTCGTCACTGTATCGAACCGCAACAGCAGAAAACAGTTAAAATATAACCTTTCATATTCCTTTGTAATCATATAAAAGTTTTGTATATCTTTGCTATTATCAACTTATATTGTTCTCACATACTAGTGCAATGTGGTTCAAGTAAATCTTTATTAACGCTTCCGCAAACTACAACACTCTTACTACAAGAGATCTTAGCCTTGAAAAAGATCCTAAGGGCTATTTCTCAGCCCAACATATAGTTACCAAACGTGTGAAAACAACATGTAATTGTTACCGTACGCGTTATAGTGCCCCATATAAGTTACCATTGACATATTTCCCCTTTTCCAAACCAATGCTGTTGTGGTTTTGTCCATTACTAGTGATACAACGCGTAATTTTATATGGATTATCGCGCAAATTTAATATGGGTCATAATACAGGTAAACATCCGCAATATTGTATCCACGTTCTGCACGGTGTTTCCTACATTATGCCATCATAATGCTGGAATCAGGAGACAGCCGGACCGCATTTCTCCCTCTTGCGACGCGGCTCTCTCAAACGGCATTCACATCTTGTTTGGCGAAAAAAGTAGCTGACACACGTTCGTGTTTTATCGCGACGTCCAGGACCATGTAGCCAAGGCCTAACTCACGCTAGTAACGGTGTTGCGGGCGAACGCTGTCTGTTTTCGTCGGTTCCCCACCCTCTCTCGACGTGCCACCTTTCCCTTCGCCCCGCCCAGCACCTCTCGAAACATGTATGTATCCTCGCTTCACAGCAAGAACCGTGCTTCACTTTCCTTTCGCCCTCATTTCTGTCTCGCTGCCCCATTTCCCCCCTGTCGCCCTCTGAAGGGGTTGATGGTCGTTTCTCTCCGCTTCACTTCCCGCACACGCAGCCACTACCAGGACCCCGCAGCCCACGAGAATCCAATATTAGTAGTAGTAATGCGACCAAATGTTGCACTCTTATATCTGGCTCCGGGACGTTATGGGTTGGGGGTCAGCTTAGAATCAGTGCCTGTTGTTCTCCGCGTACTACGACTAGTACTTATATAAGCGTTCTTAGCGTTCTCAGTGTTCTAAGGTACTGTGACAGCATGATCAGCACAACGGCTTGCTCGACGACCAGCACCAGCGCCGTGGTATATTTTCGAGGCGCCTCAAAAGTGTTCGATCAGTAGTAGTAGTGTTGCGTCTTCATAATCAGCACAAGGGCTTGCGGGACGACCAGCGTCAGCGCCGAGATGCGACGTGGATCTTCGCGCGGTACGGGAGATCTTTCAATTCCAGCCCGGTCGCGCACGGCTGGGCCGCTGCGGCAGTCTGTAGGAGCAGCAGCAGCAGCAGCAACAGCAGCTGTAGGAGTGGCAGTAGCAGCTGTAGGAGTGGCAGCATCCGCAGGAGCAGCAGCAGCAACAACACCAGCAGCTGTAGGAGTGGCAGCAATGTCGTGCTTCTCGCCGCATGCATCATCCTCGGTCATCCGCGTTTGCAAGATGACCGAGAGTGACCAGTACTACATGGTCTAAAACAATAAATGTTCCAAAATTAACTCAGTCATCGCATATACACAAGTATAAACCATTCCTAAGACTTCACTCCTACCCCGAGCACACAGTTCAAGGTTCAGACCACCATCACCACCGCTCTAGAACGGAGTGGACCCAATGATGTTCCCCTGGGGCGAGTAATCACACACCCACATGCCACCCCCATCAGGGCACTGCGCTGACGCACACCCCACATGGGTCGTCCCCCCCCACACCACCTGCGTGTAATGCCCGCACATCCTCCCCTCCACACACCCCTCGGGCACCGGGCTGGGAGTCCAATCCGCCTTCTCATCCACCCACGCCTGCACCGCCATACGATCCTCCTCGGGGGTCAGCGCTGCCGGCCGCCGCCAGTACAGGTTCTGCCCGAGCCCCTCCGCGCCGCCGTGCTGCAGCGGGCACCCCGTGGAGGCTAGCTGGTTCGCCCACTCCTGCGCTGCTGCTGCCACGCCGTCGTCCCATGCCAGGTCCGCCACCCCCACCTCCCGACGCGCTGCGTTGTGCACCTCCAGGATCGCGTCGATATCAATCGGCCCTCCTCCTCCATTACTGCTGCTGCCGCTGCCGCTGCCATTGTCAACGCCGTTGTCACCACCAGTTCCATTATCCCCGCCGTTGTCGCCGTTGTTGTCACCATCGCAATCGCCGCCCTCAGCTTGTGCAAAAGCAAGAGAACCCAGCCGCTCACTCCCATAGTTCACACCACGGCTCTCGCCTTGAGTCCCACTCCTGTGAGTAATGGCCACATCGCTGCTTGTCGCCATGCGAAACAGCGGTGCCTTGTCGAGCCCATTCCCGCGGGTCACACCACCGCTCCTGTGAATCACCACATCCCTGGATGTTGCCATGTGAAACGCTTGTGCCTTGTCGAGCCCACTCCCATAGTTCACACCACGGCTCGCGCCTTGCATCCCGCTCTCGCGAATGGCCACATCGCTGCTTGTCGCCATGCGAAACTGCGGTGCCTTGTCGAGCCCATTCCCGCGGGTCACACCACCGCTCCTGTGAATGGCCACATCCCTGGCTGTTGCCATGTGAAACTCCGGTGCCTTGTCGAGCCCACTCCCGTAGTTCACACCACGCTTCGCACCTTGCATCCCGCTCTCGCGAATGGCCACATCGCTGCTTGTCGCCATGCGAAACTGCTGTGCCGCCTTGTGCAGCCCAGTGCGCTGATTGTTGCGAGGCTCCCAGCCACGGTTGTTGCTGAAGCGAGACACAGGGGATGATGCTCCCTTGTCACTGCCGTGAGTCCTGCCCCGTCGCTGTCCCTTGCTGTCAACATTCACGCCATGCCAGACCACTGCATCGTTGTCATCGTCCTTCTCATTCTCATTCTCCCTGTCGCCTTCCCTGTCGTTGTCATTCTTCCTGTCGCCGTCTCTGTCGTTATCGTTCTCCTTGTCGCCATCATTGTCGTTCTCCCTGTCACTATCGTCATCATTGCCATCATCAGCCACCACATTTCTCCACGCCTCGCCCTCCTCAGCTTGCATCGGCACCGCCGCCGCCTTCGCTGATCCCGGGTGAATAATCGCCACGTCCTCAGCCGTCGCCATGTGAGGACGCGCCTCTCCCTCCTTCGCGCGCAGAGTTGGCGCCGCCGTCGCCTTTGCAGATCCCGGGTGAATAATCGCCACGTCCTCAGCCGTCGCCATGTGAGGACGTGCGTTGGGTTGGCGCAATTGTGCCGCGTTCAACCGAGCAGGACGTGCAGGTGTGGATGCCGTCTTCAGGGTGTGGATCGCCACGTCCTCAGCTGTCGCCATATGAGGATGCACGTCGTGGTGGCGCGGCCGTGCGTTCGGCGCAGCAGAATCATCGTTCGACTCGGCAGAATCATTTCTTGATACGGCCTTCTTCAGGGTGTGGATCGCCACATCCTCAGCTGTTGCCATGTGAGGCGGCGCGGCCATGAGAGGCGGCGCGGCCAAGTGAGGACGCGCCGCGTGCTGTGCGTTCGTTGCGCCCTTGTCTGTCGCGCCCTTGTTTGTTGCGCTCTTGCCTGCTGCGCCCTTGTCTGTTGCGCCCTTGTTTGCTGCGCCCTCGTCTGCTGCGCCCTTGTTTGCTGCGCCCTTGCCTGCTGCGCCTTTCTTCCCCGCACCCTTATCCACTGCTCCAGCGTCAGTTGCGTCCTTGCCTTCCGCGACCTTGCCCGCCGCGCCCTTGCCTTCCGCGACCTTGACCGTCGCGCCCATGCCTTCCGCGACCTTGCCCGCGGCGCCCTTGCCTTCCGCGACCTTACCCGGAGCGCCCTTGCCTTCCGCGACCTTGCCTTCCGCGACCTTGCCCGGAGCGCCCTTCCCTTCCGCGACCTTGCCCGGAGCGCCCTTCCCTTCCGCGACCTTGCCCGGAGCGCCCTTGCCCGGTGCGCCCTTGCTCACCGCGCCCTTACCCGCTGCGGTAGCTCCCGCTCCGCCCTTGCCTGGACCCTTGCCCGTTGCGCCGTTGCCTGCTGCGCCCTTTCCTACCACGCCCTTTCCCGCAGCGCCCGCTCCCACTCCATTTAAGGGCGCATCTTTCCCTGCCGCGCCAATAACCTCAACGTGATGAGCAGGAGCACGCGGAGGGAGAGTTGAGGCGGTCTTCTCTTCAATGTTTGAAACACTTGACGTGGTATTAGCAGGCGCGGTCGAGCTGCTTGATTCGGAATCATTACTTGCAGCGGCGACGACCTTCGGAGCCACTGGAGCGGTGGTAACAGTTGCGTCGTGGCCATGTGCGGTTTTAGTAGGCGAAGTGGGTTTAGCGAGAAGGCCACGTCGGGCCGGCAGGGTTGAAGGCGCCAGGTGCGATGAGTACGAGCCGACGAGCAGAACGAGAAGAACGATGGGTATCAGCCTCGTATTCTCCATGACGTTCATTCAACGCAAAAATTGTGTTGACTTTGGCGCGGTGAATGTTTGTATAGACGCCTGGCTGGTTATGTTGCTGATCCAGAGGAAGCAGGTGTGTGTTTGGTTGCTCTCTACAGATGGGAGAATTTCCGTTCCAATTTATGCTTCCAATCTGCGGATCCGCGATTCGGCTTGTATCAGTGCGCTGCGAGCCGTGCACTGCGATGACGGCGAACGAGGTTACGGACTTCGATTGCCGTGAGCGACGCGGGAGAGGCAAATTGGAGTCCTAGTTACGGACTTCGATTACCGTGTGCGAGACTGGAGGGGCATGCGACAACAGGATACGGACGGCCAAGTCGGCGAGGCCGACAGTAACCATTTGTATGCGGACCGAACGCCACGGGTTGGCTCGCAGGACTTTATCGTGGTGTGTCTGGCTTTCGTCGAAGTCAACCAGAGTCTGACAGACATGTCAACCCCTCCGACCAAAATCTTCGGCAAAAGGGTTCTCGTTTTCCACATGAGAGACACTGAAGCTTAAGCACCTTATAAATTCTGTGCATGTAAGCATCTGAATTTCATTGAGGGATAAATACAGTGCTCATAGCAAAGGAATAATACCCTTTCCACTGCCCCTGCAAATTTACAGTGAGTTCTTCCAGCAGCCAATTGAGCTTCCGGGCACATTTGAGTGGGCCACGACAATGCACTACCTAACATCTCCATGTCATCAACCGTGTGCTTTATTGAGTCACCTAACAGAACGTTCACTCCAGAGCCAGTGAAGGAATCTAACAACGACCTCAGTTTCCCGTGGTACATCTGAGAGGGCCCCAGCTCAAACGCCTCAGCACAGCACCTACCTGTTTGTGCTTGCCCAACAAACATGTAGTTTTCTAGTCACCCAACAGAATCTTCAGAGAAGCTTCACTCCAGACCCTGTCAACGCATCCAGCAGCGACCTGAGCTTCCCGTGGTACATCTGGGTGGGTCCCAGCTCAAACGCCACAGCACCAATCTGCTTCTCCAGCATGCGCGCAGCTAAGGCCTTCCCGACCTCTGTAGCTGCGATTTTGTCACTTGTGCTTGTAAGGGACTTGCGCAAAGAGGCTTCTATGGAAGATGCGGCGGCGAGTGTGAAGGCTGTTGGCTCGTGAATGACCTGCAATGTGGGTCAGATAAGCATTTGGGCAGAAGGTGAGGTGACCCGAAAGTTAGTTGGGCAGAGAGGCTTCTATGGAGGATGCGGCAGCGAGGGTGACGGCTGACGGGCATCTACAGTTGGCTCATGAAATAGCTGCAGTGCTGGGCCAGAGAAGTAAAAGGGCAGAGCATTGGGTGACTCAGAAGTTGGTTAGGCAATGGGCAATGCATATGCAGGTCACTTGCGGCGAGGTCGCCTGCATGGGAGCAGCAGAAGGTGAGTTGGACCGGCAGCATGGGTTAAGTCAGGGGTCAGTTAAGCAGAGAGAGGAGCCTCCATGGAGGATGCAGTGGCGAGTGTGAAGGCTGTTGGCGCTTGAATCGCCTGCACTGGGAGCAGCAACAGCAGCAGCAGCAGCGGCAGCGGTTGGCCAGTTCAACAGCACGAGGAAAGAACGAGTGAGGGTTTTATGGAGTGAAGGCTGTTGGCTCTTGAATCGCCAGCAGCATGTAGCAGCAGCAGTGGTCGGGCGGTCGAATGGATCGGCGGCAGTTGGATCAGCAGAGAAAGGGGTGAGAAATGAGGGTCGAAATTTTGGGGGGAAGTTAGGGAGTGGACGAGAAGAGGGACAGGGGGGAGGAGGCGCGAAATTGGAAAAGGTGTGGAGCAAGGGAAGGAGAGGAGGGACGGAAGGAAAGGAGAGCGAGAAGGAGAGGAGAGAGGGGGTGAGGAGGAGAGGAGAGAGGGGGCGAGGAGGAGAGGAGAGAGGGAGCGAGGAGGAGAGGAGGGGGAGATGAGTAGGAGCAAAAATATAAACGTAGCCAGCAAGCGACTGCTTGGCGAGCAAAATGTAGGACCACCTCACCTATTTTGTCAGAAGCTGCAGCAGCGGCAGCAGCAGCAGCAGAAGAGGAAGAAGCATTAGGAAAGAGAAGAACAGAGGACAAGCGAAGACGAGAAGGGATGGTCGGAAGAGGGGGTTGCAGAAGGGGACAAAATATCTCGTCCCATTTCACAACCCCCTGAGGAAAAGGGTCGCACTGAAATGTTTGAACTGAGAATGAACATGAGCAAGTGAAGGGGGTTAGTCACCCCTCAGTTCGCAAGGGTCGAACTGAAGGGGTTAACGCCGAATGCGATGGGATGGATGGGATACGTGGGGCATGCAGGTGACTAAGCAGGAAGGCTATCTGCAAGGCTATCCGTACACAAGCAGGGGACAGAGAAGCGAATGGGATGAAAGGAATGGAGCGAGTGGAAGAAATGAACCTCTGGACGCGGAGTGTCATTCCTTCCACTAGATGTGCGCGGTGATGCGAAGCAGGAACGGAATTGTATGCTGAAACTGTTTTTTTTAGAATTCTAAAAAAAACAGAGGCGAAGCAGGAACGAGGCTCCAGATGCAAGGTGACTCTTGAGTCGACTCACAAGTCACCTCGTGCACAAGCAGGGGACAGGGCAGCTAAAGGGATGAAAGGAACGGAACGACTGGAAGGAATGATTACTGTGATCGGCGCATCACCACGCACACATGTGAGTGGTGGTGCGAAGCAGGAACGAGCCTTCTATGTGGAACGAACCGGGCATGAATGCGCGGCGCGGCGCATGAGAGGATAGCGGGAAGACTTTTGAGGCGCCTCATGAGAGGATAACGACTTTTGAGGCGCCTCATGAGAGGATAACGACTTTTGAGGCGCCTCATGAGAGGATAACGACTTTTGAGGCGCCTCATGAGAGGATAACGACTTTTGAGGCGCCTCATGAGAGGATAACGACTTTTGAGGCGCCTCATGAGAGGATAACGAATTTTGAGGCGCCTCATGAGAGGATAACGGGAACGCACTGCGCGTAGATGTATCGGTTCGACATGATCGACTTCAGGTGTGCTTTGAGTCGACTTACAACACATATGGGCAACGCACCTGCGCGTGGATTACTAAGCCGCGCAAGGGAGGAGATTGGGAATGCACCTGCGAGGAGATGTACCGGTTGGACATGAACACCGACAGCATGATCGGCTTCACGAACGTCGAACGTACCCACGTGAAACAATGTTGACGCCTCAAAAAAAATATTCTCTCACGGAAGAGACGGGTAACGCACCTGCCCGTATATTACTGAGGCGCGCACGGGAGGATAAGGGGAAGGATAAGGGGAACGCACCTTCGCGGAGATGTACCGGTTGGACATGAACACGGACAGCACTCATAATTCGCCTCATTGCACGCGGTTCTTATCATGGGAAGCGCACATGTTTTGGAACGTCTCATAATAGGAGGGCAACACACCTGCGCGTAGATGTATCGGTTGGACATGAACACGGATAGGACGATCGGCTTCACGAACTTGGTCGCTCTCGCCATCGCGAAATCGCGAAATGCCGTTCGCACGTCGAAGTCGCCGTCTTCCACCACGTGCGGTCTGAGGTGCAATCTACGGCTGAGAGCGCGTGGGGAGAAAAAATCTATGATCTCCGTTGCTTATATTCGCGTGAAGAAGCAGTTGGAGTTGCGTGAAGCGGAGGCTTGCACCGATCGCACTCGCGTGACGGATTAGAAGCTTCGACAACTGGGCACGTCACATACGCCTCGCCCCGGTCGCTTCGTCAGGGACCCTACGTCGCGCTAGCGCGTCCCGCCTCCTGCATCGCCGCGCAAAACACTGCCTCGTGAAGGTCTAGGGTGCTACTTACTAGCAGATACAAGGATATCCGGTGTGAAGAGTGTAAGAGAATTGAGATAAAGACAAAAGAGTATGATTGCACACTAGAATAAGACAAGAGTGAACAGTGGAACTCTAGCATATGTAGATGAGCTTGATGGAAGAGAAGATGATGCTTAGAACTTGTGACTATAAAGAGAAACTTGTGTAAGATGAAATGCTCGATGAGATAAGAACTTAGAGGAGAAGAAGAGTGTGAGCTCGTTGAAAGAAATAAGAGCGGTGATAAACACTTACTTGAGTGAATCTTACTAGGGATAGTTGTAGAAGTAACTTGAAAGAAGAACTTGAACTTGTATGGTTTACTTGGGAGTGACTTCAAGCCTTGGGTTGGATGATGATCCTCCCTTCAGCTTGTAGCTTGTAGCTTCCTTATACTCTTAAGGAGTATGAGGTAGACTACTCTTCACTTGATAACTACTTTGTAGACTATGTGAGAAAGAGCCTTATGAGCATAAACTTATATTAAAGAGAGTATAGTACAAGCCTTATAAATCCATGAAGGATACATAGGCATGCATAGAGAGAGTAACCATCAATGGTAGCCTTGGAAGAGAGTAGCATGAGAGTATCAACTTTGGAGACATAGAAACTTGGTTGCTAGTGAGGAGCCTTTGTAGTTGAAGAGGAGCTTGAAGGAGAAGCTTGGAATGAGCTTGGAGAGGAGCTTGATGAAGAAGCTTGAGAGGCATTGTTGTCATTGAAGAACCTTCTTGAGAAATTGTAGAGATGCTTGTTGGAGTTGAATAGTAGTAGAGCATGAGGTGGTGGTTGAGCACTTGTTGAGTTGGAGTTGTAGGCCTTGCAGTGTTGGAAGAGAACTTGGGTGACTTGTGAAGGAATGAATAGAGAGGATAGGAAAACTTTGGTGTCTTGGAAGAGGAGGTGATGTGGTAATCATGAATTCTCAAAAGATGAGTTGGCGACTTTGGTGACTTGGGAATGGAAGGAAGGGAGGAATGAATTAGAGGCATGTGGAGGTTGATGACTAGGAATTGGAAGCATGTGCTTGAAGGCACATGGAGGGAGGTGTTGAGAACCATAGTAGTTAGGAAACTTAGGAGATTAGGAACTAGGGTTTTGGAGAGGTTCAGCAAGGAGAACCATGGAGAGGGAAGTTGGCCAAAAGAGTAGTTTCACTATGGAATGAATACAAGATATAGGAATGGGCAAAAGGGAGGGTACACCACCAGCAGTTGATGCTAATACCTAAACTAGTACACTAGCTAGCTGTAGGCAGTTATAAGATATGCAATATAATTCAACACACCCCCGTAACTGCCTACGGCTATAGCTAGTGGTGCCTGGCACCAGGTCGCCTGGAGAGCGGTTGTTGTAGCTGGGATAGGCACAGAAACAGCGGTGGCTGACCGGCAGCACCTGTGAACGCCAGGACGGAGGAGGGCGCGGAGAGCGAAGAGGAGGGCTGGGATAGCCGGAGGGCGAAGGATGCTGGTCGCTCGCCATCTACGAGCAAACACAACTGTTGGTGAGGAGGAGGAAGCTGCTGGTGGTGCACAGGAGGAGAGCAAAGGAGAGGCGGCTGGAGGAGAGGAGATAGGAGGAGGAGATGCGGCTGGAGGAGAAGAGAGGAGGAGGAGATGCGGCTGGAGGAGAGGAGAGGAGGAGGAGATGCGGTTGGAGGAGAGGAGATAGGAGGAGGAGATGCGGCTGGAGGAGAGGAGAGGAGGAGGAGATGCGGCTGGAGGAGAGGAGAGGAGGAGGAGATGCAGCTGGAGGAGAGGAGAGGAGGAGGAGGAGAGGAAGTGCAGCGGAAGGAGGAGGAGAAGGGGGAGGCGGCTGCCTGCACATACCCGCCACCCCCACACCCTCTTCCCCCCCCCCCCAAACGCGGCACGAACTGCAGATGCACGGGCAGCGATGAGGAGGAGGATTAGGGAGGGGCAGGAGGGTTCAAGGGGGCTTAAGCACCCCCGTAGCCGCGGGCGCGAGCCTCGCCACCTCCCCCCCGCAACGTCCACCGTAGAAGAGAGCGACGGCAGGTGCGGAGGCGGGGAGCGGGGTGGCGATGGCAGGGGCGCTGGCGGCCGCTGCTGGCGCTGGCGCTCGCGACCGGCGCTGGCGCATGCCGCTGGCGCTGGCGCTGACGCTGGCGCTGGCGCTGGGGACCGGCGCTGGAGCTGGCGCTGGCGCTCGCGACAGTCGCTGGCGCTGGCGCACGTCGCTGGCGCTCGCGCTGGCGTCAGCGACGGTCAGAGGCGCTGGTGCTGGCGTCCGCGACCAGCGACGGGGCGACGCGACAGCGCGCGGGACGGGGCGACCAGCGCGTGGGGCGGGTAGCACGGGGCGTTCAGCGCGGGGCAGGCAACGGGCGAGCGCCTCGAAGGGCGCAGCAACGGTCGCCATGGCAACGATGGCAGCCATGGCGAATGAAAAAATAACAAGGTCCTTAGAAAGACCCAGCTCTGATACCATGTGGAGAACCATAGTAGTTAGGAAACTTAGGAGATTAGGAACTAGGGTTTTGGAGAGGTTCAGCAAGGAGAACCATGGAGAGGGAAGTTGGCCAAAAGAGTAGTTTCACTATGGAATGAATACAAGATATAGGAATGGGCAAAAGGGAGGGTACACCACCAGCAGTTGATGCTAATACCTAAACTAGTACACTAGCTAGCTGTAGGCAGTTATAAGATATGCAATATAATTCAACAGGAGGAATATTGGAGGAGGTAGATGACTTGGATAATATTTGGTGAGTAAGGAAAGAAAGCACATGGAAAATCATGAGGAGTCATGTGCCTTGTGGTGGGACTTGGAGGTGAATAGAAAAATTTGTTGAAGTCTTAGTTGAGTTGGATTAGGAATGGCTATGGTGGTTGGGAGAAATTAAAGAGGTGGTTGATAGGCTTGAGTTGGAGTGGATGAGTTGGAAAAGGAAGTTTGTAACTTGGGTGGTTGGAATGGGCTTTGGAGGAGTTGAGTGGTATGGATGGGTTCTTAGGAAAATGTGTCGAGGGTGTTTTGAGGGGAAGGGGTTGGAGTGGTACAGTAGCGTGGCACGTGAAGAGCGTGCCATTCACAACAAAGAGGAGGTAGGACGGGCTGGAGAATGAGTAACGCGGTAACTCAGCGTATTTTCGGGAAGCGAGTAGTCGAAACATTTTGCAGGTTTGACGAATCGTTGCACACGTTTCCTTGGAATATCGCACACGTCTTGGGGACGTTCGTGATTCGTGTTTCTGATGGGTTGGAAATTGCGATTGGGTGTACAACTTGGAGGGTAACATCTCGCAGGATTCGCCAAGACTTATTGCATCAATGTTTGATGTACATCTCATCCCGCGTCAATTTCCCTATACCGCATTAGTTCACTATTTTGCCAGAGATGTTCTCTAGGTTGAATCTGCGAAGCTGTGTCTCAGCTCTGTTTCCTACCCCTCTGCGTCCTTTGCGGAAGCGCTTAGGTAACATCCTCCGTGTACTCTAGTGCACTCGTTGTCGCTCGCCACGTGTCGCTTGCCACGTCGTATGCCACGTGTTTCGCGAACCACCCAGCCTACACTTATCTCGTTCGCATCGCAGCCTCTTACTGCGCTATGATTTCCAGAGACAGGCTCATTCAGAGCACCGCGAGCGGGTGCCCTTGAAGACGTCTCAGGAAATCATAGCGCATTTCTGTATCGCGTGCTGCGCGTCGCAAGGAGAGATAGAATAGGACTAGTGACGACAATACAGCCTTCTTTTCTCTTCCTTAGCTTCTTATCGTTTCAAAAGGTCGACGGTGGCATTCCGCTTCGTTTCCGTACCACTGCACCACACGCTACCGTACACTGTAACCTCTAGGCGCGTTCGACCTTGGTTGATTTGGCGACCTTGTTTTCCGCACCGCTTACCGTTACTGCAGCGACGACTACCAAACCGTGTCGCGGGGTCTAGATCAGCCGCTTAGCGACCCTCACAATCAAGCAGAGTATACGACATTCAGATCCAAACGCATGGTTTGGTTCTGAGACGTCCCAACAATCCAGGGAGATTCACATCTGATTCAGATTCAGATTCAGATTCAGACCGAGATCCTAATCTACATTCATGGTTTGAAGAAACTGCTGGGTGGGAGTCAACGCGGTCAACGCATGCGGTCAACGCGGTCAATGCGGTCAATGCGGTCAGCCCAGTGCGTTTGGAGTAGGGTGCAGGCGTACCAGGGTGGATGGTTGCCGGAACGGTTGTTGGGTGTGCAGTTGTGTGCTACTTCAACAGCAGCAGGGGGAAGAGGAGGGGGAGGAGGAGGAGTAGCAGCAGCAGCGGCGGCGGCTGAATCGACAGTCGCATCAGCAGTCAGAGCAGCAGCAGCTGGTCCTGCTGCTGCTGGTGTTCTAGAAAGAAGACTTCAAGAGCCTAGTATCGTTTCTGCTGTTCTGAATCCTGCACGACAAGACCGATTCTGTTCATTGGAGCACAGCTGGCATCATGGTGATGGTGATGCATTACGGCAGCATCCACGTCACTGTCCACGTCTGCAGCCCACCACTTTCCATCATGCACATCATCAGTATTCTAGTCAGCTAATTTTGAGACGTCTCAAAACTAGTCAGCAAGCATATTCCCTCGACCACATGAATGGCGTGACACAGCGTCAACGTCAACATCACAACTATCACTCCCTGGCAGCACCAGCAACCGCAACCACTATCCATCATGCACATCATCAGTATCATAGTCAGCGTGCGAGTTTTCTCGACCACATTATCGGCGACACGCAGAAGCGTCAACGACATGAAGCTCACTCCGTGGCAGCGCCAACAACCCTGACAGCAGCAGGTGCAGTCGCTGCAGCAGGAACAGCAGCAGCAGCAGCAGCAGCAGCACGCATGCACGCGCCTGTGACTGTGATTGAGTCCACCCAGAACCCTCCTCCTCACCACCCTTCTCCCCCACCACCAAGGGAACCAGCACCAGTGCTAGCACCCCCCACTCCCCAGATGACTTTTGAGTCGACTCAAAAGTCACCATCGTCGCAGGAACCTCCAAGGGAACCGTCACCAGCGCCAGCACCCCCCCCCACGCCCCAGATTGCGATGGCAGCAGCGGGAATGGGCGCGCCTGTGACTGTTTTCGCTGCCAATTTTGGCAGCCTGAAGCCGCGTGTCCTGCTGATTGACGGCACGTGCTATGCTTCCCACGCTGGTGAGTCAGACTTGCTGGGTCATTTCTGCTCAGGACAGGCGGGTGTGTTGGGGGTTGGAGGAAGAGGTTTTACTGGGAGCCTGAAACCATGCGTACTGTGCTCGTTGACGGGACGTGCCATGCCCCTCATGCCGGGTGGGTGAGTCAGAATGTCCGGCGGGTGATTCATGCTCAGGACAGGCGGGTGCGTGGGGGGGAGAGACTTGCATGGGAGCCTGAAGCCGCGTGCGCTGCTGATTGTTGGCAAGTGCCATGCGTCCCATGCTGGTGAGTAAGACTCACCGGGTGGGTGAGTGGTGCTCAGGGTAGGGAATTTTTTTTGCATGGGTGGATGATTGCATGGGAGCCTGAAGCCACGGGTGTTGCTCATCAATGGCACGTGCCATGCGTCCCATGCTGGTGAGCCAGAATAGGTGGGTGAGCCATGCTCGGGGTAAGTGAGGGTGCCTGAAGCCTCGTGTGCTGCTGATTGATGGCATGTGCCATGCCTCCCCTCCCATGCTGGTGAGTCAGCATTAGTGGGTAGGTGGGGTTAGAAGCTCTCCTTCTGCTGCGTCTTTCATAACCCTCTCCCCCCTCCCACCCCACCCGCTCCCGCCTCCGTTTTCCCCTCCCACAGCGGTCCAGCGTATAGCCAGGGAGAACAGGGATCAGAAGCTCTCCTTCTGCTGCACACCCCCTGACAAATCAGCGCACCACTCCCCCTCTCTCGCTCCAACCCCTCCCACCTCCCTTCCCCCCTGCTGCAGTGGTCCATCGCATTGCCAGGGCCGACAGGGATCAGGATCTCTCCTTCTGCTGTGCTCAGTCAGAGGCAGCACATCTCCTTAGCGAGTGAACTCAACCAACTTCCTTTCTCGCCCCCTCTCCACCCCCTCCCACCTCCCTCCCTCAAACCTCCCTCCCTCAAACCTGGCAGTGGTTCAGCGTATTGCCAAGGCCGACAGGGATCAGAAGATCTCCTTCTGCTGCGCGCAGTCAGAGGCAGCACATCCCTACCTCGCTGCCTTTGGCCTCACCTCCTCCGACGTCCTTCACTCTCCAGTGTACATTCAGGGATTCAACGCCTCCTTCAATGGCACCTCAGGTAGGTGTCTCCTGTCCTGAGTCTCTGCCTCCTCTGCTGCTTCAATTAGCTTTTCTCCTTCTGCTAGACTCCGCGCCTCTCTCCGGTGTACATCCAGATCCATGGGTAGGCTCCCCACCCAGGATGTGGCGCTTCAGTCTCTGGGCACCTCTGGTATGCCTTGAATACATCCTGGGTGGGGATGCTCTTCATGCCTTGAGATGCTTGAATGCTTCCTCCACAGGTGGGCTAGGCTCCCTTTCACCCTTTGGTGATATTTATTATGTCTCAAATCATGTTCTCCACTCCCTCACATCCCTCTTCCCCTCCCTTCCCTCACTGTGCTGCCAGCTCTGCTGCGAGTGGCCTGGCACCTGCCTCTCCCCTACCCCGTCTTCACCTCGCCCCTCACTTTGAATCGACTTTCTCACCCCTTTCCCCTGGCGTTTCCTCGTCCTCCCCCCCCTCTCCCCTTGTTCCCCTGTCCCATCAGCTCTGCTGCAAGTAGCCTGCGACCTGCCACTCCCCTACCCCCTCCTCGCCCCCTTCCTCCTCATCCCCCAACCTCTCCTCAACACCCCCTTCCTCTTCGCCTGGCGCCGCCGCCACCGCGGCTTCAAGCAGGCCCCTCAGCGATCCTCCCCTCCTTCCCTCACTCTGTGCCCCACAAACCCCTCCTCCCTCTCTAACTTTTCCCCTTCCTTCCCCTCCCTTCCCCTACCTTCCCCACTTCTGCCCTTGTTCGCCCCGGTGCTGCCAGCGCTGCTGCGAGTGGCATGCGACCTGCCTCTCCCCTACCCTCTCCTCGCCTCCCTCCTCCTCATCCCCCAACCTCTCCTCAACGCCCCCTTCCTCTTCGCCTGGTGCCGCCGTCACCGCTGGTTCGGGCAGGCGCCGAGGCTAATCCTGCCCCCCCCGGACCTTATTGGTAGGTTTGTGGATCGGGAGGAGCTGGAGGACGAGGGGAGGAGAGATGAGGACAAGAGGCACCATGAGATGGCAGAGGGGCGGCATGGTTTGGACAAACCTCCAGGATCACTGGACTGATAAGTTTGGGGTGAAACATACCCCTGGATTTGGTGGTGGTGGTGGTAGTTCCTGCGCAGTTGCGAATGTGTGTGCTGTGAGTAGTGCTGATTTGGCTTGCCTTGACAGTGAACCCCCTCCTCCCCGGCCTTTTTGATAAGTGTTTGTGGGTCGAGAGGAGTTGGAGTACAAGAGGCATCATGAGATGGCGGAGGGGCGGCATGGCTTGGACAGACCTCCAGGGTCCCTGGACTGATAAGTTCTGGGTAAAAGGTGCTTGTGGTCCTGGTAGTGTTGTAGTTCATGTGCTCTTGGGAACGGAAATGTGTGACTTGTAAGTACTGCTGGTTCGGGTTGGCCTGTAAGGTGATTCTCCCACCCCCCAGGGTGATCAAGAGGTTTGTGGATCGGGAGGAGTTGGAGGATGAGAGAGGAGGGACGAGGACAGGCGGCATCATGAGATGGCGGAAGGGCGGCATGGTTTGGACAGACCCCCAGGGTCCCTGGACTGATAAGTTTTGGGTGACATATATTCCTGGTTCTGGTGGTGGTGGCACTGGTTTGGTGTGGTGTGGTTTCCTTGCGGTTAGGTTGGGTGGGAATGTGTGAGTTGTTAGTGCTGCTAGCTCTACCCAGGGTCATCGAGGCACGTTGTGGATCGCGGGGAGTTGGAGGATGAGGGAGGAGGGATGAGGACGGGCGGCAGCATGAGATGGCAGAGGGGCGGCATGGCTTGAACAGACCTCCAGGATCACTGGATTTATAAATTCTGGGCTGAAGGTGCCCCTGGGTCTTGTGCTCCTGGTTTTTGAGTGGGAATGTGTAAAGTTGTTACCGTCATACCCCGGATATAAGCGCCACCCGCGGATAAGCGCCTGGCACTTTTAATTGGCGTGTGGCGCTTATATCCGGTGCTCGATTATAAGCGCATACCTAAAAGGCTTACGGATTATAACCGCATACCTGTGCCTTACATTTTATAACCGCCACCCAGTTTTTTTTTTTTTTTTCTCTCTCTTTCATTTGAAGACCTTTTACATAATTAGTATACTAAAACATCATGTTAATCACTCTACAACTAGTTAATCTACTCCTACCTACGAGCCTCACACAGGCTTCACCATTTTCTACACTAGTTAATCTACCCTACTCTAATCATCAGCTGCAGTGGGGTCATCTGGGTCGGCCTCAGAGTCCGACTCAGGTTCCTCTACGTTGTTGCAGAAGAAACCGTGTGCTGCAATTTCATCATCCATGTCGACCTCCTCGCCCTCGAGCTCGTCTCGCCTGTGTTGCAGGCAGAGCTTGTCCTGGGACCCATCCAGGGCGTTGCTGATGCCGCAGGTGAGGAACGCCCGTTGAATGAGCTCCTTGGGCACGGACTTCCAGGCCGCCGAGATCCACTTGAGCGTCAGCTCGACAGGAGGCTTCTTGATGTTGCCTGCCATGCAAATCCAGAAACCGGGTCAGCACGTGTTAAAGAAATAAAAACATAAACAGAAGAGCTGCACCTCTCACCTTTCTTCGTCAAGGTGTCGACCCCCTCACGCTCAAACCACTCCTGGTAGAGCTGGCGAACGGCGGCCTTGAAGGAGCGGTTAACCGCGACGTCGAGGGGTTGAATCTCCGAGGTGCAGCCAGCAGGGATAACTGCAGGGACCAGGTTCAGCTCGCCAAACTTCTTCTTCACCTCCGGGGTCAGGTGCCCACGGTACGAATCGAGGACGAGCAGAGCTTTGCAGGGGCGGACTCCGAACTTGGGGTTGATGTACGGCTTCACCGCCCCGTCCAGCCACTCGATGACACCGTCCGCGTCCATCCACCCGTTGGGATGGACCCCCACGTGGATATCTGCACAACAACAAAACCACGATGTTAGTTAAAATTTTTAACTGACATCGACATGCCACCGCGTAATCGACATGTGGTGCATACCTGAAGGGAAATCTCCTTTGGGGACGGTCTTCCTTTTGAAGAAGACCCAAGGCTTCAACTTCTCCCCGCTGGCGGTGCAGGCGAGCATCACTGTAACCCGCTCTTTCTGGTAGCCGTCGCTGCGGACGGGCACGGAGCGCGAGCCAACCTCTTCAACGGTGCGTTCGGATGGCATCTCGAGCCAGAGGGGCGTCTGGTCCACGTTTAGAATCCACGGCAGGTTGATCTCGTACTGCCGACGGGAGTGACGCACGTACGTCCAGAAGTTCTTGACATCAGTCTCGCAGTCTGGGACACGGGATGGGAGGAACAGAAAGCACAAACACACAGTGAGAGCCGTGAATGGACGGGAACAGACAAACAACAATACCACCAAATAACAACTCACTGGACGAGAGCTTCTGGCCGACCCGGGTCTTCGCTCTGGTCGTCAGGTTCCAGCGGCGGCGAAAGCGCTGAGTCCACCGCTGAGAGCCGGCCCACTTTTCACCTGGGTGTAACTCTTTCATCACCTCGTGCGACCACTTCTGCAGTCGTGCGATCGAGACGGCGAGGCACTTCTTGCGGTGGGCGAGAAACCTCCGGTACACCTCCGCTTCCATGTCGCGATACCACGAGCTCCTTCCGCGGCCGTGCAGGCGACAGCGTGCACCGTGCGCGCCCTCAAGCTCACCCTTGCGGTTCTTCCACTCCGTGAGGCACCTTCGGGAGATGCCGGATTCGCGAGACATGCGCCGCACACTCATCTCTCCGGCTTCGAGCTTCAGAATCCATTGCAGCTTCTCATGCGAGGTGTAGGAATTGCGCCTGTGCTTTGTCGGCTTGTGCCTGGGGGAGGGAGGACGGGCATCACGATTATCGCGAGATGGGTGGGGCCTTTTTTTATTCGGAGGGGGAAAGGAGGGAATTGGAAGGTGCTCGGGGAGACCGTCAGCAGCCCAGAACTCCACGTCGTCGTCCGCACCGGTAGCGGATTCGTCCAACGGGCAATCAGCCGGCGCTCCCCATCGTGGCTCCGGTGCGGAGGAAGATCCTTCGCCGCCGCTGCGTTCAGGCTCGGACAGGAAGGCGTCGAACGCCGAGTAGCCAGGGGGGAGGAGAAGCTGCAGAACCCCCTGTCGCGGAACACCAACAGCAGGCGGGACGGGAGGGGCCGGAGGAACGGGGGGAATAGGAGGCGCCGGGGGAGCGGGAGGGGTAGGAGGCGTAGGAGGCGTGGGAGGAACGGGAGGCACTACTGGTTGTGGTGGAGGGACGGGCGCAGGGCACGTCTGCCATTGAGAGTAGTCACGAGTGTCTCTGCGGGTATTTTCTCTAGCAGCAGGTTGGTGGCGGAACAAGAAATGCGTGCCTGGAAGGCCCGCCATGGCCACGGCAGGCCAAACGAACGAAGAAAACTGAACCAAAAGTTGGGAATGAGGGCCGTATGAAGCCCTCGCCCGAGACCCCTTCAGTTTCGCGGCCCGGCCTCCTCTGCGGGGAAAGTGTGGCCACAGTCAAGATTCCCCGCAGAGGAGCTGAAAGGGACAGCTCTTTGCCTCGGTGGCAGAGAATCTTGCTGTTGATGGGCACGTCGTGGCTGAACCACGACGTGCCCACGATCGCATGCAACCCTGATTAAGCCGCTGTGATGCGAAGTACATGTGCCCTGGCATGGGCCAGGTTCACGTTCGATGAACCTGGCCTAGCCAACAAGGCGTGGAAGGCGTGATGCCACGCCTTGTTGGCCGTTTCACGCGCAAAGCATGCACAGAGTCGAACGTTCTCGACTCAGGTGAATCCGCCTTTGAGAATGCTTCGATTTGGTATATTTAAAAACAAATTTCATTTTTGACATAACATAAACGCCGTCGCTTATAATTTTACTATATTATAAGCCCACCCCCTAAAAAAAAACATGTTTTATTAGTGCCCCCCATGGGGGTATATCCGGGGTATGACGGTACCATGTTACTCCGAGTTAGTAAAACCACATGTTTTGACCAGGGCCTGTGATTCACTTTGAGGCACGTTAATGCATCAGGGTCCCTCTGCGTAGAATCCCTGATCCTCAGTGTCCCAAAAAAAAAAAGTCTGAAAATTCAGTGTTACCTTCAAAAAAAGTCTGATGCATCAGTGTTCCCTTTTTATAAAGGCTGATATTGAACTTAAAATAAGATAACACTAGGCAGGAACGCGATGAAACCCCAAGCGGATGGAAGGAAAGCATGGAGCAGAATGGGATGGGAGCCTGGATGGCAGGTTGCACGGCTGGGCGGCGTGGATGTGTCAAAACATTATATGTTTCTAGCTTGTCTAGGCTATGTAGGGGTTATCCTTAGAGGGTACAACTCTTTTCTCGACAATCTTGTACCCCCCCCCCCCAACCTAATCGGCACCAATTCTCCTCACATGATTCCAACATGGTATTAAGAGCTAGTAGGTCCTTAGGACCAGAAATTTAAGAGGGCCCACCGTTAGTTCCTGCCCGAATCGCGCCCCTAGGCACGTCGCGTTTTTTATTCTGCCCAAAACGAGCCTAGGCATGTCGAATTTCACGGCCTAGCCCCGCTGCCCCGCTGCCCTGCCTGAGCGCAGCCCCGCAAACGCGCTGTCCGCCAGCAGCCTGCGCCCGGCCTGCGCCCTGCCCGCATGCACTCCACGTGCTCCCTGCCCGTCCGCGCTGCTGCTGCTGTCACTTCTGCAGCTGCTACTGCTGCTGCTGCTAAGCGTGCTGCTGCCACTGCTGCATGCTCTGCTGCTGCTGCCACTGCTGCATGCTCTGCTGCTGCTGCTAAGTGATGCTACTGCTACTAAGCGCACTGCTGCCCAGAGCAGCTGCTGCTGCTAAGCGCTGCTGCTGCTGCTGCCTGCCCCACCCGCAATCGCGCTGCCCTGCCTAGCTCATTGCCCGCCCGCGAGCGCGCTTCCTGCCCGCGAGCGCCACTGCGCCCCTGCCCGCTCGCGCTGCTTGCCAGCAGCCTGCGCCCTGCTGTGCGCTGCTACTGCTGTCACCTGCGCGGCCCCTCCTGCTGCATGTGCTGCTGCTGCTACCTGCTGCTGCTGCTGAGCACGACTGCTGCTACTGAACGCGCTGCTGCTGCTAC